GATAGAAGGCACAGAGCAGAATAAAATCCATGTCATTAAAGAGCCGCAGCGCAGGATGGGCACGGAGAGCTGGAGCGCGGGACGGGACAGGCGCGGTCCCGCGGGGAGCCCCGCTTACGGCTCTGCTATCCTGTGGGGGTCGGGGGACAGCCGAGTGCCGACTGCCTGCTTCCAGCCGCGGGAGGAGCGGGACGTGCTGCTCTAAGTCAAGGCCGAGTAGCTCAGGCCCCGGGACAGGTCCGCCACTCCGCCCCCAAGAACCGGGACCCGCGTGTCCCGCTGCCCCTCGCTCGCCTGCTCCCTCCTCCCTGGCCCAGCCGAACCAAGACATACCTTAAAATCTAGTCTAGGCATACACACCACACGCACAAGGAAAATCGGGGGTGATTTTGTTTTTTGTTTTTTTTTCTTTAATTCGTGACCTACATGGTGACCAGCAGCACAAGACTGGTTGCTAATTAAAGCAGCTGGGAAGGGAGCTTGTCATGTAGTGCCGGCCACGGGTTTATGTACAGAATCACGAACGGGATGGGACCGCCGTGGAACACGTCTCGAGCTGTTTATTTTCAGCATCATTCTCATTACATGGTTGGGACAATGGGAAGATGCCAGCAGCTGACGTCCTCGGCGGCAGCCGCAGAACTTGGAGTTACAATGTACTTTAAAAGTTTTTTGACCAATCACAAAAAGCAAAAGCATATTGATAGTAGTTTAATCCAACCACTATAGGTACATGTACCTTTGGTTAAAACAACTCTTGCTTATTTCAAATACAATGCCTACTTGTAAGCCTTAAAATACAATGCACAGAGCTCCATTATTAAGCTTAGAACTTCCTAATATCTTGTTAGATATACTTCTCTGCAGCTTAGGGAGTTATTCTAGCCAAGCTTTAATACACAGACCATAGTTCTATTTGTCCTTGCTTTCTGCATCTCCTATGACTTTTCTGCTGACAAATATTATGGCTTAGCTCTAATCGCAGTTCTGCTGTTTCTGAAACCTGCTTTTTGCAGCTTTCCCAAAACCCTCTAATTTTAAGGATTCCCATGGTCATGAAACCATTTGTGTCCCTAGGAATACGGGCAACACTTAGGATGAGGATGCACAGGCGGCATCTTGCAGAATCCACCTATTGTGTCCATGTCCTGGAAATGACACCCTGACAGCTGCCAGACAGCTCCTGGCCTCAACGGGGCTCTCTGGCCTCGTCCTGCTGCTCCTCCTCATCCCACCGCACACTTTTCCTCTCTGGCAAAAGCTGTGGGAGAGGAGTTGTGCCAGTGTCCAGCGTAGTCTTTGGTGTGGGGAGACCCATGGGGGGATCCGTGTCTGGGAGGAGGGAAGAAGGTGGGGAGTGAGCAGGTGCAGAGCCTGCAGCTGCCTTCCCCTTGGACAAGCTCCTCTTCCTCCTGAAATGCCTCTGACTTCTCCCCAGATGACTGAATTATCCCAAAATGCAACTGAATTCCTCCCAAAATAACTCTGAATTCCTCCCCCCAATATATCTGAATTATCCCTAATATCTCTGCATTCCTCTCCAGAGCCTCCAAATTCTCCTAAAATATTCCTGAATTCTCCTAAAATATCCAATTTCTACCCAAATATCTCTAAACTTCGCCAGGGCCTCCCACGGAGCATCACTTTGGCAGCAGCAGGAGCTCAGGAGCTTCTCCAGCTCCTTGGGAAGTCCTGATGGGAGGTGGAGCCTCATTTCACTCCAGCTGGGAAAAGAAATTACAGGGACGGGTGTTATGCGACGGATGTATCAGCCAAGCCCCTCTCCGCAGCTGGAGTGATAGGGACGTGAAGCAACCAGTTGCCACATACCTGCTTAGGATGGTCCCAACATCCTAAAAGGAAAAAGGGAGAAAAAAGGGAGTTCAAGACCCCATAGGCAGCACTTTGGGAGACCTTTTTGGTAAGGAGGGCACTCACCTGGGGCAAGCACCTGGCCTCCAGCTGCCCAATGAGTCTGTGGAGCTGTGCAACCCTGTCGGCCAGCCGCAATGATTTTTCAGCATGGGCAGCTGCGAAGGTGTGGTCCAGCTCAGCCAGCCGCCCCAGCACCGTGCGCTCCTGCTCCGCCCGCGGCTGGCGCAGCTGCTCCAACTCGGCCTCAGTGCGGCACCGCTCGGCTTCACTCGTCTCCTAGAGGAGACAAAAATCCATATGCAACCCCCAGACCTGAATCTTCCCCTTTTCAGTTAAAGGACAGAACTACTTACGTTGTAGCCAGGGGGGCTGTAACACTGGGGCAGGGCTGGGGATGCAGCTAATTAGCAACTGTAGGGTAATTAAGTACTTCAGCCTAAGGTTCTCCTTCTCCTCCCCTATTGCCATTCTTCCCTATATTCTGTCCAAAACCAACTGCAGGCTCTGAGAAGCAGTTAATTCCATATTAACAAATGTCCCTTTATGACTCAGTCTGAGATGAAAATGTGCAGTGCCATTGATTTAAAGTGTGGATAATAAGCAGCTGCACATGGAAGTGGTTCTTGCCAAACCTGCCCAGGTTCTGCAGCAACCACTCCAGCTGGGTGTAGGGCTTTGCAGGGTGCCAGGATGCCTCTTGGATATGATCCCACGTGTTTCTTCAAGAGGGACTTGGGGGAAAATAAATACCCAAGGACCCTTTCAGATTGCTGAAGAATAGGGGGACCCCCTGTACCAAGCAGTCCTGGTATCTCTTCACTTGCTCTCCAGTCCAGAAACTCTGCCAACACCTTCCTTAGGGACTGCAGGTGAGACTGGATTTAAAAAGAGAAACTGAAGCAATCAGCTTAGATTATTTGTATAATCCTGCCTTCAAAATCTTACATTATTTGGTTGAGGAAAGCAAATAATTCCCCTAAAAACGCCCCCTCACTGCCTTCCCTGTGTTGAGAAAATAAATGTCCCTAAAATGGGGGGGAAAGGGGCAATCAGATGGTGCCAGAAGGTGTCCAAGTACGTCATTGCCCCATCTGCAGGCAAGAGATTGGAGGGCTCCTCCCTTCTTGGCTGATAAAAGCTGGCAGAGGCTGAGACAGGACTGAGCTTTGGCTGAGCCTGTGCCAGAGAGAGGAAGAAAAAAATCCCAAAAGGAAAAAAACACAGTGGCGAAACAGCCAGTGGAAGAAAACCATCTGGAGGAACCCCAAAACAGCACCAGCGACAGCAAGGAAAACACCAAGAAGGTTTGAGTGAGGGGGAAAATCCCAGTGCAGATAGGGGGGTTACATCACCCTGATGTCTGTGGGGAGGTGGGGGAAACGGGATTTTGAGCCTCCTCCCCATCCCATTAACTCAAGAAGGGAAGTGATTTAACCTTGCTTTAGTGTCAGGATCTTTTGTTTTGGATTTAAAGGTGTTTTGCAATGGAGAGTCATGGTGATTATTTGCTTCTCATCTACCTGTAACAATCCAGATGGGGAATTTGAGTGAGAAACAGCGTGGGTCCTGCTTTTATCTTCATTTGGGTGATTTTCTTATCTTTTTCCCACTTTTACTCATCACCCTGCTGTTTTAATCCCCTTATCTGCAGATTGCATGAGGAAAACACATGGAAAAGAAGTATGTTTGTTTTCAACTGTCACACCATGGTTTATTATTATTTGGGGCTTTATTTCTCATGTCCAGGGCCCGTTAGCATGGGCAATCCCTTGCTTGCATGCAAAACCCCACCCAGACTTCCAGAGCATGAATTTGAGACCATTTGATGCCAGCTCTTATCTCCTCCATATACAATTTCTCCAAGGTCAGCAGCAAATTTCTTCCCCTTCTCACAAGATTTCTCTGGATGTGAGAGGTGAATGTGGCTTATCTCAAATTTAGGGACTTTCCTCACTCAAATAAACTTTGTCAGATTTGATTGATGAGTGGTAGAGGCAGAGATGGATTTAGGATGGATAGATTCAGCCTTCAGCCAGCATGAGGAATGGAGATTTGGGAGTATAATAATATCTACAGTGGAAATGGATTCATCCCAATGTACTCCTCATAGCACATAGTCATCAGGGAATTAATTGATTTAACTCATCTCCAAGGGTCTTCCCATAAATTAACCAAGTTCTGTTGCAACTGTTGAAGAAAAAGAATGCTATTTTCTTGAAGTACTTTGATTAAATGTCGTGGTTAAACACATTTTTTGACATAGAAAGGGGCAGAAGCTGAGATGTGACTGTTTGAAGGATAATAATTAGATTTTATGCTTTCTTTCCTTTTCCTGTGCCTCCAGTCAGGAAGAGAAGTCACTGAGGGTGCAATGGCTTTCTTCCTCAAACCACGGCCATGCACATGGCACCTTGCCCTGGACTACCACACTGCCAAACAGTTTGAAGGTAATCAGAGATGGCTAGAAAGGAGCAAAGTACCTGTTCCTTGTGTTCTCTGGGCTGTAATGTTCAATGGAGTTGGAGATTATCCTGCTCCACCTTCTGCCTCTCTAGGGCCTTTGTATCCAACCTCCATCTCTTTGCTCTTCCATCTCCAACCTCAACTGGATGTATATCCTCCATCTCCAACTTCCGCCTCTTCGCACTTACATCTCCAGCCTCACCTTTCCTCTCTCTTTCTCTTCGAAAAGTCGCCACTGAAGGCATTTTGGTGGTGTGTGTTCTCTAGGCTTAAATTTGGCTTCTTCCTCTGTTTTGCTTTTCAGTGGATGTAACGCTGGATCCAGCCACAGTGGGCCCAGAGGTGATCCTCTCTGAGGACCTCAAAGAAGCCACCTGGGGCACACCTCGATGCCAGTGGCCAGCGGGTCCAGGGCGGTTTGACACAGACCCGTGCATGCTGGGCAGCGAGGGCTTCACCTCGGGCCGCCACTACTGGGAGGTGGAGGCCAATGGGCGCTTCTGGGCCGTGGGGGTGGCCCGTGAGTCGGTGCAGAGGAAAGGCCGGGTCCTCTTCAAGCCCAACACGGAAATCTGGGGCTTGCAGAAGTATGATGAGCTCTGCGTTGCCCTCACAGCTCCATCCAACACCTCTGTCCCACTCCTCAATGGGGAGATTGGAGTCTACCTGGACTACGAGGTGGGACAGGTCTCTTTCTACGCCGTCAGCAGCCGCCAACGCATCTTCACTTTTCCTGTGGCCTCCTTCCGTGGGGAGAGGGTCTTCCCCTATTTCTGCGTGCTCCTCTCAACCATTAAACTGTCCCCCAAGGGCTGATGACCTGGAAGGATCCTCTCAAAAGCTGATTACATCATAGTGGTTGGAAATCCTTGTTAATGCGCCTCAGCTCTTATTTTCCAAGTCTTGGAGGCATTTCTAACTCAGTTCATGGTCCTACCTCCATCTTAAATGTATCTGTTTTGAGTTATGTCCAGGGAGGTTTGGGTCTGAGCTCAGCATGACTCATCTCAAGTTGTTAAATTCATCCAAAGCTCATTAACAGGACATGGGCTTCCCCGAGCTTGTTTTGAGCTAAAAACTTTGCTTTTTATCCCAAATTCAGCTTCCTCTGAAGGTTCCTTTCACTGACCTCAGTGCCTATGATTGGCTGGGCTCCCAGCACAGATTAAAAATCTTAAATGTTGCAGGCTTTGTATTAATATCAGCCACTATACGTCATATTAAAACTGATTTTGTCATCACAAGGATGTGGTCACACCCACTGCCCCCACTCTTTTCCTCTGCTGTTCCCTATGCTTGAGATGTATTTCCAAATACTCAGCATGTAAATATGCTCAGAATAGAATAAATTTCTTTTTCTCTAAGAAGTAGAAGGCATCTGCATTTGGACCATCACCAAGTTGCCCCAAACCCAAAAAGATCCCCCAGGTCTGCCCTGTCCCCCCACCCCACCCCCCTGCATTCTCAAGAACTATCTCACAGGGATCCCAAAGGTTGCCTTGTCCCAGAAACACCTTGTTGATCCCCTGGAACCCTCAATAACTCCTTGCCCAGGGGCTTCAAAACCTTTTTTGATATTTTCTCTCATGTCCCTATGGTGCACCAGATATTTGGGAGTGAGAAGGCCTCCCTGCAGCACCCAAGGAGCTGACACAGAGGTTTGGAGGCCGTCTCATCCTGTTGCCCTTGCCTGAGCTCTGCAGCTCATGTTTATTACAAATCCAGCTCCTCTCAGTGCTGCAGTGGGAGGAGCTGAGCCCACTGGCATCCAGGTAAGCACAGAGCCCACCACCACGGATCGGAAACCTGGAAGTACAGAAGACATAACCCATTTCAGATGGGATGGCAGGAAAAAGGAAAAAAGTCACACATAGGCTTCCCTCAGCTTCAGTTCTCAGTCATCCTCATGCGGACCAACATGCCAAAATATTATTCGTATTTCTTTTATAGGAATAGAACTAATTCAATATCAATATGCCAAGACTGACACTGATCTATTCCTAATATGAAACCCAAAGCTTTGCATGAAGAAACAAATTTAAAATAAAAAATCCAAACTTAGGATTTTCTCACTAAACGCACCCCTCCCATCTTTCAAGTCAAAGGGGAAAACAAAGACCAGCTTCAGATACAAAGTTGCCCTTCCCAAACATTGTCCCATTTTTTACTTCTGGGTGTATCTCAAGTACAAGAAGAAATGCACATTTTGTAGCTGAGGAAACACCCACCAACAACATAATAATGAAAACCATGGACTCACGGGTAAGATAGAAGCGAGCGGTTCACCCATTGCCATGGCTGCTCCTCGTCCTCCCGCAAAAGGCCAATCCAATGCTCTGAGATGCCTTTGTATCTCATCACAAAGCTCTGAAAGAGAGGAAAGGAAAGGTTTTCACCTTCTTCCAACCATAAAAAAATCTCAGTTTTACCAGTTGCTCGTGCTCTTTCAGGGCTTCTCTGGGGCTTGAACATTTCAATCTGTTACCAAAAATTGTCATCTAGAAACAGGGGTGTATTCCTACAGTTCTTGCAGCAGTTGGTTTGAGTGAGGAATTTGAAGATACCCATGATAACATACCCTCAAGGCCTTTTCCCCATCTTATCACCCCAAATCTTCAAGAAAGATCCTGGAAGAGCAGTCAAAGAAACTAAAAGGTTTCAAATACTTTTGGTTTTTTCCCCCTATGCCAAGTAGGTCCTCATGTCTCCTTACCAAGTCCTCCATGCTGTCCAGCATGGCCAAGGAAGCACCAAGTGCCGAGCAGTTGTCCTGGCTGGATGTCCAGTTCCCCTCAACCTCAGAAAAATAGTAGCATTTTCCTCTGTACCTGATCCAGTCGAAAGGACACTGAAAGCAGGGCTGGGCATGAGGCTGAAAAGCCTGCACTGTCATTAAAAATAGAACAACATTACAGAGCAGCACCTTCCCCTCGCCTCTCTGGGGTGGAGAGATCATCGTCCACCCCGCGGTTTCCAAAAGTCTTGCATCTGCCTCAGTTGTGGGCAGTGAGAAAAATTAAGATACTAGGAGAAATCCTGTGAGAAAATAAGCTCAGATCATGGCCCAGCTTGTGATGTTGGACAAGAAACACAGGTGCTGCACCTTCAAAGAAGGAAACAGAGTGGTAGATATAAAAAACCCCACATTTTAAAGAGCAATTTCAGAGAAGCCCTATCCCTAAACATGCCCATGCGTGTTCCTCTCTTCCATTAATGCAAAAGTAGTGAAAATGACAGGAAAAACGTCCTCTTGTTCCTGCAGACCTCTTGACTTGGTGGAACTCATGCCAGCATTTCCAGGCCCTGCATTCTCTGAAAACAATACTTCTATGTGACTTTACTCATAAAATGCCTCTTCCTATTGATTTTATATGGGTTTCTAGATGACATCAGCTTTCACACCAAGGGGATGGATTTGGTCTTCTGTAGAAAAACTACTCTGAAACGTCCTTCTTCCAGAGGGAAAACAGCTTGGGCGGGCTTTGTCTTCCTCAGTGTCCTAGGGTGATGTTACAGTGTTTGTATCTCCAATCGTGTGTTCTGATTATGTTTGGTATTATGTCCTGTGCTTCCAGGACTGACTCTGAAAGTGAAGCTTTGTTTTGTCTTGTTATCAGCCGGCTCACCTCCCCCATGGTCTATGTTTAGGAGAGGTTTTAGCTCGGCTTGCTTGCCTGCTTGCTTGCCTGCTTGCTCGCTTCTGCCTCTTTTTCTTTCCTTCGCTTTGCCCTTGCTTTTTGCTTATTAGTTAGTTCAGCTAGGCAGTCCAACTTTTTCCCTGGACTGTTTTCTCTTCCACCCCGTCCCCTCCCTCTCCTGGATACCATCTGAAGCTGTTCTGGACTGGGGCCTGGGAAACCCCAAGAAACACCGGGAGGCTACACTTTGTCACCTGCAGCAGTCATTCCCCAGCGCCGGAGACTGATAACTGGGGGACCACTCGCCGGAGAGACTGAGTTTGTCATCCCTTCAGAACGGTGAAAGAGGTTTTTTGTCAGCTGGTGTTGTTTTTTTCCCTGTGCTGGGGAGTGTCTTGCTTGTTAAATAAACAGGTTTTTTCTCCCACTCTTCTCTGAGGAAATTCTTCCCGAACCCGGTGGGGGGGAGGGGGGAGGAGTCGTGGGGTTTGCTGTCTGGGGGCTCCTTTTGGAGGTTTTCCCCTAAATTTGCCCAAAACCAGGACACTCAGGAACATGGAAGTAGAACTGCCACAAATGCAAAAACCCTAAATATCTCAGAGACATTACCCGTGAGATTAAAACTTTGACACTCACCTGCAAAAGCAGTGGCTGTGATGAACAGAGCTGTGAAAATCACTGCCAGCATCACCTGGCAGGCAACACGTGCCTCTGGTTTCATCTCCACGCTGTGACCTGCAGGAGAACAAACCTTCAGTGTCTCTGCAAGGGCTCCCAGGGCAGCAAAAGCTACAGGTCGTGCCAAGATGATGAAAGGTTGGTCTTGTGCCAATGTCAGTGGACTTGGTGCTATTTTGGGTGAGAAATACCAAAATTTCTTCTTCATGTGGAACAGAATTTTTTTTTTTATGTGAACTCTTTGGGGAACAGTTTCCTCCCCAGCTCCAGATGCAAACTCCTCAAACGTACCATAATTAAAATTTTGCTTTAATTTCTGGGGGTTACCTCATTATTAAAGCTTTTTCTCCATCTAAACTAAGGGTTATGGTGTCTTTGGACAATTTGGGTCATGGTGCCTCCATTTCTGTATCTTGTGATCCAGAATATGCACTTTCCCTTCACCATGATCAAACACAATTCTATTTCCTAGGGGTTTTATCCAAAAAAATCTTAGTGTTTTCATCCAGTAGAACTTCCCCCATTTTTTGTTTTTTTCTCCCTGTCATATGAACCAAATTTCATGGAAAAAACCCTCCTATTCCTGGAAAAGTATTAGAAAGTAAGTCAGAAGCCAACTATGCCAATTTTTTTTTTTAAGTTACATTAATTTTTTTTAATCACCAAATGAAAAATCAACAAATAAAATCAAAATCTAAAAAAACAAATTTGAAAAAGTCACAAATGTGCAAAAAAAAAAAAAAAATCCTCAAAAATCCCTGGTTGGGTAGAACAAGATGATGGAAAAGGCCCCAAAATTCCTTTTTTTACCTTATTGGGTGCCAAGGGGATCTTAGAAATGGGAAAAAATGAGGAAAGCTGAAACAGGGCAAAAGGGAAAGCTGATTTCCCCATGAAAACAAAAAAATAATAAATACTTTCTGATGTGTCCAAACTGGATTTAAACACCAAATTTCTTTTTGAGATCTTCTATAGCTCAACTCTTCAAAAATCTCTTTATTCTAATCCAGAATAAATCAGAAATTTTGAATATTTGGGTGAAGAGGGGAATACACCTAAGAGAAGCAAGAGCCTCGGGAAGGGTTAATACTAAATTGGAATTTGAAATTGGCCTTTTTAGAGCAAAAATTCTATCTGCTGAGTGACAAAAATTTTCCCTCAAGGGAAGTTCCAGAAAAAGCTTTTTTCCCCCTACAACCTTACTTCAGCTGTGTTTTCTTCTCAAATTACAGAAGTATCACAATAAAGCCCAGACACAGTGATTCTACAGTTCATTGCCCTAGAGTTACCTGCCCGCTTGCTCCTTTCCATGCCCAAAAATCTGGAATAAATTCTCATTTCCTCCATTTTTGGGGTTCCGTCTCTACAGGTGCTCTTGTCTCACCTGCCAAGCAAAGTTTCATCTATCAAAGGTGTCATGAAGGCTCTCAGTCCTCAATTAAAATTTTCTCACCATTTAAAACTTTCTCCCTGTGCCATATTTAAACTCTTCCCCCCAGCTCAAGTTTTCTCACTCAATTAAAATCTTGTCCCTGCAATTTAAATTTCCTCTCCCCTCAATTACTTTTTTTGCCTAATTATACTTTTCTCTGCTCGGTTAAAATTTTCTCCCTATAAGTCAAGTTTTCTCCCCACAGCCAAACTTCCACCTCAGATTAGTTTTCTCCACCAATTAAAATCTTCCTCTCTTAAGGTCTCCTCAGGTCACATTTTCTCCCTGCAATTAAAATTTTCTGCTATAATTAAAGTTTCCTCCCTGCAAACTTTTCTTCCCATAAAGCTTTTCCCCAATTAATGTCTTGTCTTCTCAATTAATATTTTATTTTCAATTAATATTTTCTCTCCAAAATTTAGGTTTTCTCCTCAAAATTAAAGTGTTCTGCCCCCACTTAAAATAATCTCCCCGTATTAGAATCCCCTCAATTAAAATTTTCTTCCACAAATAAAAACTTCTCCCTGCTATTGGAATTCTTTCCAGCAATCAAAATATAAGATCCCCTCCCCTCCCCTCAGCCCCCAGGCTCATCCCAAACCCTGTCACCTGTGTCTGCTCTGTGGGAATAATTCCAGTGCTGAAGCACAACCTGCTCCTGTGAAGAGAAACAAAGTATTGTTTTTAAATGTTGTTTTGGTTTATTTTATTGTTTTCTGAGGGATTTTCCCGTCCCTCCTCAAGGGCAATGAAGAAGGGGCTGCCTGCCTAGGGCCACCTGCTCACCCACTGAACCAGGGGTTCCCCTCCAGCTCCACTCAGCATCACGTCACCCTCTTTTCCAGCATTTCGGGAAGACGGATTGTCCAAAAATGATTTTTTGTTAGTGTGCAGTTGGAGGAAACACTGCTGGAGATCACTCTGTTCCAGGATGTCAGGGCAACGCAGAGCAGCCCTCAGGAATTCTACAAGGTTGAAGTACAGTTCCCTTCAGCCCATTTTGTAATTTTTTTTACTATAAAAATATTTTTTAAGAAGTTTTTTGCAATTAAGGTACCCAGCTGCAAGGTTTTACCCTAAAACGTAATTTATTTTGTATTTTCAGGGGGTTTTTGTAATCACTCGTCACACACCACTGGAGCAGCTGCCTTTGCAGAGGGCAGGAAGGATTGCTGATAGCAGCTCACCACAAAAACTTTCTGTGATAAAGAGAAGGCTGTGGGTGGAAAAGAAACTAAAAATAAACATGAGATTATAAAAATATAACAATAAAAATTACATAAAGACAAATTTAAAATAAAAGTATTTTTTAATTAACTAAAAATTTTACAATTACTTAAAAATTTAAAAATACAGTGCTTTTCCTGCTAGAGCCTTTGGACCTTTGGGTTTATCCTATTATTTACCCTGTTTCTGGCTGATGATAGGTATTGCGGCAAATTTCTGCTTCTTTCCTTGGGGTTTTTTTTTGGGTATCTGAGGAAAAAAACATAATTTTTACCTCTGTAAACAGGTGTTGCTTTGAGATGTTGTGGCACTAACTAAAACCTGGGCTTAACACCAAAAAAAACTTAGAAAAGGGAGTTCCTTGCAATTGCCAAAGGGTCCCAAACCTGAGGAAAATATAGGTCTAGATGATGTAAAAAATATATCAAGAGTGGGAGGATGGGCTTGCAGGAGAAGAAAAATCAAAATGAAGTTAAGTAACAAAATAAAGTAAAATTCATTAGCAGCCTGAGGAAACCCACATTCTTACCTCTTCCCGGGCAGGAGCTGGGCATCCCCTGACCACATTGAATCTCTCTGCCCCAGGGTAATTTGTCAAAACCATCAGAACAAGTCACATGGAACAAAAGGCATTTCAAGTCACACCCAGCCCATATTTTGGGGAAGAAACACCAAATGTCACCTGTCTCCTCCCTGCCTGCCTGTGGTCACACTGATCCAGCTCCTGACGTGCTTCAACCTCAGTCAAAAACCTTATTTGAAGGCTTTTTTGAAATGATTACTTATTAATTCTGCTCTCATAGATGTTCAACACAACCACCAAACTCACAGATGTTTCTACACCTCCAGGTGTGGCACCTCTTCTTGGCTACAGGACACCCATTCCCTCACCACCTTCCATTTACAAGGGAAGGGTATGTATACACATATATCAATATATATATATGTACATATGTATTTGTGTACGTACAAAAAAAAAAAGCAGATAAAAGCCCCAGCCAACACCATTTCCTGGAGCCGGATGCAGACATGAGTGCATAGTTCACAAGGCAAGAGGTTGTCCAAGGACAGTGTCATTTCTGGGCTGCTCCTGGGACCTTCTGAACAACCATGGAGGGGGAAATTGTTTATGCTGATTTAAGGCATCTTGGGGGTGGGTCCTCTGCTGATAAGCATGGGGGTAAGTCCTATTCTGGGGGAAAATGCTTGTTTCAAATTTTGGGAAGACTTTTGGATTTGTTTACTTTTAGGTTTGCTTGCTTCTTCGTCTCCATGTTGAGGTTTCTAAGATCATGGGGAACACTGTTGTGGGTGAAATGTCTTCTAGGGCGGGATTCTGGCTTGAAAAGAGGAGGAAAAAGAGAAAGGAATGGGAGACAGTGACAGATATCTGGAAACCACTTTGTTTCCAAGACTCTTCGCCTAGGGGGGACAAAATGTGTGCCAAGAAACCAATCATGAGCCAACACACCTGAATGAGAAGGAAAGCTGCTGAGATCCTGTCTGGAATCCTGGTGGAGATGAGAGCTGGAGTGACCTTTGTCTCACCAACTCCCAGATTCACTAGGAGCTCTAAATTAAGCAAATTTCGGAAGATTTCTCCTCCCCCAAGCTCCATCATTGGGTGCCCAAGGGGACTCCTGAGGTTCCTTCAGCCCCTCCTCCACCTGAGAAACCACCCTCACCCTAGACCTCATCAGTGGTGATTTACTTTTTTGGAGGAAGCAAAAAAGCTGTAAACTTCTGCTCAAACTCACCAGCTTGACAGAGGGGCTTTTTTTTTCCCCTCCCTCTAAACCCCCAGCTTTTTCATCTTTCATTTTTAAAGTAAATGTGGCCTCTTTCAGCACCAGCCTTCTGTCCATGGTGGCACAGGCTCCTTTTCATAGCCGGGGGACTGGGGCAGCTCATCCTGCTGGTCCTGGTGGTGGTGCTGAGTGTGCGGGGTGAGTAACCAGCTCTTATCTACATCTCACGCTCCAGTGAGCAGCCAGGAAGGGAAAACTGGAGTTTATTTCAGCATTTCAGTCTTCGGAAGGGACAAGATTGTCCTGTAGAAATGTGATACCACCCATCAAAAATAAACCCATTCTGAGTAAACCTAGTTAATACCCCATAGCTATCAAACAAGGGTGGAGAATACAAGTCGTGGTTTTCAGGCTAGCTTAAGCAACTGTATGAAAAAATGAAACCCAGTTTTGTGTGGCTTTTATTCCCAAATGGCTGCAGCTTCTTACCCTGGATTACTGCTCCAAGTTTTTCAGGGGTCCCCACAGCCAGTGGTGACAAGTATTCCGCCGCTGGGCAGTGGGATCCAGGGAAGGAACCAGGTGGAGCACTGCATGTTTTCATCCCTGGTGAGGTATTTCTGCAAGCCCCGAGGGGACAGCCCCACAGGTAATCCCCCTTCCCATATGGCTGCTCGAAGATGTTCAGGTGAGACCTTTGTGGGGGTCTTCTACTGCAAGAAGAGAGACTCTTAGACCCTTGGAGCTGTGAGGTCACAAGGGTTGTTCGGTAAAGAGGAGAGTTGCAAGAAAGAATACTCTTTTTCCATGCAATTGTTGCTGATCCCTCCTCTATGGAGGAGCAGCATCAGCCCTAGGGAGGAGGTTTCTCACCAGTCTTTTTTCACCTCCACCAGCCAAAAATGTCCTTGTGGCCAGCCAGCCTCAGTAACCTCCTTTCTCTGCAGTGGCTGGAAAAACCACATTGATGTGAAAAACTCAGCAATGGGAAAGAGCCAGGGTGTGGGATGAGGAATCTCTTGGTATGTTCAGCTGGTGGCTGGGGAATAACCTGATGACCCTTTGGAGTGTCTCATGGCTTTTTCTGCTCTTTAGCCTATGCTGGCTGCAAGCTCTGTCCCCAGGACTGGCAGCTCCATGGGGAAAAATGCTACTGGCTTTCTGAGGAATTGGGAAACTGGACTCAAGGCATGAAAAGCTGTGAAAATAAGGACTCCCAGCTGGTGGTGCTCCAGGACAAGAAAGAAAAGGTAAATAGGGAGAAGAAGGCTTGAAAAGGACATAGAAGTCCTGATTTTTAGGTGGGCAGGGAAGAAAAAAGTGCCTAACAACAGGAGGGCTTGGGGAAGCATTCAAAGTATGGGGGACATTCATGTCTCATGAATTTGGAGTCAGATTTACTCTGTGAATTTGATTGCCATGAAACCCTCCACAGAGAGATTTTGGGAGCAACTGGTCACTTCTGTTTTCCAGGAGCACATCAAGACTGTTACAGGCAAGAGCCCACTACCAGTGTGGATTGGATTAAGGTCACATCAGAAGGTGTGGAGATGGGTGGACAACACACCTTTCAACCCCAAAATGTGAGTGTATCCACAGTCTGTTGGTGTAAACAGCAGCTTTGGTCCATTTAAGATCCAGTTCTTGTCCTGACCCATCTCTCCAAGATGTTGAAGTTTATACAGGAGTCTCATATTCCCCCCAGCAAATCTCTGTAGACGAAAAGTTGGGGAACTGTACTGGAACACAGTAACCCCACGTGGTATTGCACTGGACCCATGCAATAACATGGCTTTTCATGCCCCATGCATGCTCCTTGCAGATCTTACTGCAGGCACAGCAACTCTCCTCAAATCTGGTGACCCTCAAGAAACGATGTATGCATGGTGAGAAGGTGCAGGAAAAGGGCGGAACAACCCACTTTCCTTTCCTCCTCCTTTTCCACTTCTCCAAGATTTGGAGAGTTTCCTCCTCTTCAGCAATACAATTTTTGTTTTACAGGCTTGGTACCTCTCTGCACGAGATGGATGAAGGGTGTGGAACACTGAGAGCCAAGGACTTCAAAGTTAATAAATGTGATGCTGAACACAAGTGGGTTTGCAAAAAAAACCCTTTCCTGCTCTGCCCTGTGACAGCAGAACATGGAGAGAAAAGCGATGCCTCCATCTGACAAATACCCACCCCAAAATGCCCATCACACAAGCCACTTGTTGCTAATATTTGGGGTAAAATAGCCCCATCCTCACAGTTACAGCTTTGCAGGAGATTTCAGGGTTTGCAAATCCTCTTACCGTGAGGACCAAGACCAGTTTTGGGGGCACAGATGAGACCCTGAGCTGGAGAATCAGAAAGGCCTGTACCTCAGGCACAGTGTTGATAGAGCTGTGGCATCAATAAAAGCTTATCAAACCGGTTTGCTTCAATTTATTGAAATAACACAGGCAAGAGCATAGCTGGAACATCATGCAAAGTTCATATATAAACATTGCAAATTTCAATTCAAAAAAGCTTTTGTGAGTGACAGATATTACCTCTATGCAACTCTCCAGGCATAGTTGAGAGTGTCAGCACACTGATGCAGGCAACTGGGTGGATGAGGGCAGCTGGATTTTGGTCAAGTTTTGATGATCTGGAGGGGTTTGTTTTTCTTCTGAGTTTTTTTTTATTGTTGTTTTTGTTGTTGTTTTGAGCTTATTTGTTGCTGTTGTTTCAGAGAGGTTTTCTGTTTTGGCTTTTGTTTGTTTGCTTGTTTTTGAGGTTTTTTGGATTGCAGGTTGGGGTTTTATTTGGTTGGTTTTGTTATTTTTACCAAATTTCCTCCCCACCCTTTTTTTTAATCTCTTTCAAATGGGAGAGGAATCTGCAAGAAGCAGAGAAACTTATTCAGCTCGGGAAGGGAAGGGAAGGGAAGGGAAGGGAAGGGAAGGGAATTCTGTGAGATTTGGTTGGTATTCAAGAATCCTCTCCTACAAGATCAAAAAGCTCCATCACAAGTAGGAAATGAAAGGCAGCTGGAGACTGTAATGAGTATGTTGCTCCTAACTGAACTCAAAAGGAAACATATAGGAGTGAAGGCTGGGACAGATTATGCAGGAGGAATACAGAGCTGTTGTGATAGCCAGGAAAGCCAGGGCCAGCCTGGAGTTGAATCTAGCAACATTTCTGCACATGAAGGGGAAGAAGAGAGGATTCTATGTGTAGTTGTAGAAAAAAAGGAATAAAGGGACAACTAGGGAAAATGTAAACTCTTCCTGAATGGAGTAGAGGTGCCAATAACAAATAATATGAAAAGATCTGAAATACTCAATACCTTCTCTGCCTCCATGTTTTCTAGCAAAACTGCTCTTGAGGAATCCCAAGCCCCATAAAACTGAGGGAAAGTTTGCAACATGCCTGGGCCTCCATGGAAGGAAATACAGATTAAAGAGAGCTTAAACAAACTGTACATACATAAGCTCATGGAGCATAAGAGGTTAGACCCACAAGGGCTGAGGAAGCTGCATGATGACACTGCAATTCCACTCTTTATTATCTTTGAAATGTTATGGCAACTGGGAAAGATTCCTGAAGACTGGAGGAAAAAAGTGTTACTCCTATCTTCAAGAATGGCAATGTGAAAGATTAAGGGTATTACAGGCAGACCAGCTTCACCACAGTCTCTGGGAAGATAAAGGAACAACTAATCCTGGAAGCCATTTTTCCAAACAGGTGGAGCACAGCATCGTAGTCAGGAATCATCAACATGGATTTATGAAGAGGAAGCCATGTTTAACTAACCTGATAACTTTCCACAATTTGGATGATATAACTGTTCTGGTGGATGATGGGAGAACAGTGGAAGTTGTTTACCTCAGCCTCAGTAAGACTTGTAACACTTCTAAGACAAGGCTCCTCTAACAGCCTCACAGAACAGCTGGCAAAAAACAGGTTAAATAAGCATACAGTGAGGTGCTGTACCTGCCAGACCCAGAGTGTTGTGATCACTGGTTTAGAGGCAAGTCATTAGTGGCGTATCCAAGGGGCCAGTGTTGGGACCAGCACTGTTAAACATCTTCACCAATGACCATGAGTACATCTCCATCAAGTACACAGTACATGACTGGAAGGATTAGCTGATGTGTAAGGTGATTGTAAATCAGAGATACGGTAAGATTCAGAGGGTCTTGGACAGACAGAAAAAGGATGTCTGAGAGAACTCTCTTAAAGATCAACAAGGATGAATGCAGAGGTCTGCATCTGGGCAGGAATACACATAGCAGTTACATGCTGTGGCCTGGTTGACTAAAGAACAGCCCTGCAGAGAGGGATTTGAGGGTCTTGGTGAACAAGCTGACCATGAGACAGTGATGCAAACTGGTGGCAAAGACAGCCAACAGCCTCCTAGGCCACATTAGGAAGGGAATTGAAAGCATGTGAAGGGAGGTGGTCTTTTGTCTCTACTCAGCACTAAAGCCAAGCATGGAGAACTGTGTCCAGCTATATAAGAACAAGAAAGACTTGCTGGACCAATCCAGTGAAGGACCACAAAGATGACTAGGGGACTGAACCATCATCCATATGAGGACAGCCTGGAAGAACTGAGACTGCTCAGCCTGGAGAAGAGAGGTTTAGGGGTGTCTTACCCACATGTTTAAATACCTGATGGGTTGGAATGCCAGGCTCTTTTCAGTGGTGCTCAGAGCCAAGAGGCAATGGACACAATTTAAAAACCATGACATTCCATCTGAATACAAGAAAACACTGGTCTGCTGTGAGGCTGGTCAAACATGTTGCCCAGAAAGGTTAAGACATTCAATGGGCAACTGGGCATGATCCCGAGAAACAAGTTCTAGCTGACCCTGTGTAAGCAAGGGGGTTGGATTAGATGGTTTCATTAAATGTCTTCCAACAGAAACAATTCTGTTATTCTGAGACTGAGTGGTTATCTGTGACTATTTAATGTGAGAATATAGGGAAGATGAAGCCAGGCTTTTTTTCAGAGATCCTTAGTGGAAGGGCAAGAATAAATGGTGTAACTTTTAATTAGATGAAGGGAAAACTTTTTTTACCATGGTGGTGGTAATCCCAGAGAGGCTATGAATTCTCTGTCCTTGGAAAGATTAAAAATTCAACCACACAAGGCCTCAGGCACTTTAACCTAACTGGACCCGCTTTAAGGGAGGTTTGGACAAGGTGGCCTCCAGAGGTTCATCTCAAGCTGAATGATTTCATGATTCTCCATGGCTGGATTTAAAGAATATAACTTGTAACAGCTTAACATATTTGTGGTAGCACTTAAAATACACATGACTCTTAAATACAGGGTTGGTAGAACATGTATACTGTGGAATACAAGCAAATACAAATACAATGCAAAGCCAAGTTACTCTAAATAGCTATTATTTTCGATTAGAAATACTGATCACCTGAGATACGTTTATTTAGATAGATAGATATAGATATAGATATAGCTATAGATATAGATATCAGGTAAACAGTCAGAGGAACACTGTCCTAGTAATTTTTAGTGCTTTGAAAAATTCAGATGGAACACCCCACTGGCTAAACTCAAAGGCTTACAGATGAAACCCCAGAAACACTTTCCACTAACTTCAATGACTAAAAAAAGAATTTGATTGATCGAAGTAGAACCAGGGGGACTAACAAACACTGTCATACCACCAGCTTACTTGGCCTGTCATTAAGTATGAATAGCCCCAGAGATTTTGGATGGAAGCAGAAAGCCTAGTTCAAAAATATAAAAAACCCTGCCCATTAAATCCTTACTAAATATTGAAATGTACAGATTGGCTTTTATGTACAAGATAAAAGGAGAAGGTTAAAAAGAAAAATATTTTTATTGTATCTAAATGTGTCTTTTGAATTTGATATTCAGGAATATCTTTTCCTTTCCTGAATATTCCTAACTCACTAACCTGATTTCCACCAGAAATTCGTCTAAGACTCTAGATTCAAATACAACAGTAAAAGTAGACTCAAATAGACTCAGTAAAAGGTTGTAAAAATTGTAATCAGATCTGCATCCATACCATAAATGCTTACCTAATTCTTCCTTCTGTACTGAAGTCGAAGCTCTACAATAGTTGTCTTTGTGCAGAACTCTAGTTTTTATGCTACTCCCTTGATAATAACAGTTGATCACTGCATATACATCACTTTCATAATCAGAACACTTTAAGTCCTCCATTGAAACTGGCGAATCAGAAGTGACTAAAGGAGGCACTTCAGCTCAAGAAGCCTTGCAGCAAATTCACCAGCAAATAACAGTGGCAAAGGAGCTTTTCTATGAAAAGCAGCACTCTGGCTTTAGTCTTCTCTCTTAATTGGTATAAACTGTGCCAGAAGGGGAACATGATGCACAGGGCCAGCATGTTCCAAACGTAGGCTTGAGGCACTGACCCGGACACTTGGTACTGACTTTGACACTTCCTCATAAAGCCAATATTGTGAAGAAAGGCGAGAAGAAATCCTTGATCTACAAAAAAGACATACAATTTTTTACTGTGTAATTAGCAGTTCCTTTTGTACATTGGTGGACTAAGCTAACCTGAAGGACACTTTCTAAAGGGATGTGAAAAAGAAATTCAAATTTGCCTTTCAAGGCAGGTGATGCCATGAAAAATACTGTAAAGACACTAATGATGCCTGACAACAACAACAACAACAGTAACAACAACAACATCAGTTATCTTAAATTTTGAATTGTGCATTTCTAGCAGTTCTTCTCTTCTACAAGAATGACAGAGAAATCATGGTACAGTACTTTCAAACTTCATTTGCCCCTACCCTTATGCAAAAAGGATAAAATATAAGCAGTAGTGATAAAGAAGGAAAGAAATAAGGTGTATTTGGAAGGAAATACGATGATGACATATTGGTAATTTTAGTGCAGCATCTGGCTGGCCCAGATCCAGCCATGGAAATGAGGTGATGCTGCCATTTTTCCCTCTGGATCTGTCTGAGGGTACCCCCAAATCACCTGTTCCTTTACCAGTATGTCACCACCTTCTTTATCTTCATCAGGTTCTTAAGGATCAAGTTAAAGAATTGTACAATGCAATGTTTAGCTAACCCGAGCATATATTTCTAAATTTATATTCCAAATTTATGGAAAATATTGCTGTATTGGGCAGAACTTTCTAACAGATTTTTTCAGTCTAGTGTTTCTATACTTGCAATTTGTACATAATACCTGATTTTGTCATGTGAAATAATGCCATTACTAGTTTGTAGAGTAAGCACAAGAACCTTCTGAATGAATCTGTGCAAAATTGAGCATGCAGGAAAGATGACCCTCCCTATTCAAAGATATTGTATGCTGAAATAGAATTTCATTGCTTCTTTTGAATAACATAATCCATAATGTAGTGAGAGGAATGAAAATACAATCGTTCT